CTTAGGCCCCATTCACACTGAGCGACATGAAAATCGCGCGACTTTGAGTGATATTGCGCGGCATTGAGCGACGTGTCGTGCAACTTTTTCCTATTGGGCTGTATGCAATCAGGAGCAATATCGCTCAAAATCGCTCTAAAAAAGGGTCATGTAGGAGTGACAAGCTACCAGCGACGAGCTACAAGCGATATTGTGCGATATTGAGCGACGAGATGTGAACAGCTCCATTTGAAATGTATTGGAGAAGCTACATAGAGCGATATCGCGCGGAAATATGAGCGATATTGCTGCAAAGATCGCGCGATAAATCGCTCAGTGTGAACGGGGCCTTAGCCTCAGTGCTATGGTATAAGGGAGGCTCAAATAAAGTCAAGCTCAGTTACTAGTCACATTAAACATACATGCAATGATATAGTAATACATTCAGAGTTGCATTATAATTTTTCTTCTTTATCTGCCTGGAGTTTAGTTTTAATATATACCTGTTATGAGATAATTTGGGAAACTGCCATTGCTACTTTCCTTTTCAAAATTCTAGTTGCTGGCTGTGTCAGCTGCAGTACTTCTGAGTCCAGTAAGAAAACGCTTAATCTGTCTTCTGTTTTAGTTTTCTTTTTATATTCCTAAATATTTGAAACAGAAAAAGCTAAACGTCTTCTAATCCTTTTAATATAACTGCATCTTAATCACTGTAAACAGATTAACTTAATGGTAGACATATTTGTATAAGTTACGTGTTAAGCTTTCAGTAGAGCAGTGATTGTGCTTTACTGCTTCTGTAGAGTATAAGTGTAAGGCTAGCGATACAAATGTAGATTGCTTTCCTTCATCACTCTGAACGAGAGAAATCACTCAATTCTCGCATCCACACTGAACAAAGTGGTTGGAGGAATGTGAACTGATGCTTGCTTTAAAAACACTTTAAAGTTAATTTTTACTTTTGCAGCCAAATTGGGATTACACCTATTTTATATTTGTTACATGTTCTCATTCACATAGCATAGCTTAAAAAATGCTGCTTACATATTGCTTGTACAATAGTTACAATAAGTAATCCTTTCTGCCAGATTGTATTATCAGTTGTAAACTAGATTTAGGCACTGTTTGCCCTAACAAAGGGTTAAACATCTCGAAGCATTGTATGTTAAAGTGACACTAAACTCCAGAAGTTCTCACTCAGCTGTAGATCCTCAAATCCTCTCTGAATTGGTGCTGACACTGTCCTTCCTTCTGGAGGATGGCTACTTTTGTTCCCCATGGTCCCTGTGTGTTGTAAAGTAGTCACTGCTCCAAGTTCTCTTTCGTGATGGACTACAATCTCATGTTCTGTTTACTAATTTGTATGGAGATGGTAGTACGTCACAGGAGCGAGCTTGGAGCTTTTTTGTTTTTTTTTCTATTTATTATTGCCAGATTTAGTTTAAAAACAACTTTTTTATTCTTTATTTTTTTTATTTCCTCGTTCTCTACTGGTATCCAAACTGCTAACCCCACCCCCCTGTAAGAGTGCATCCACGCGTGCAGGCTCGTGTCCATGCCCGCATCTAGCTGTGTGCGTCCAACGTGCAGCTGGCCATGCCCTCCCACCCTTGCAGTCACAGTATGACTGACGGCAGAAGGAGCCTACGGTTCCTCTGCCCTCAGTACCCTCTCCCACATTAATGCAGAGAATGCATTAAGGTAAAAAACACCCAGCTTTTAGTACTACTTTAAGGATCTGCAGCCGAGTGATGCACAAATAAGCTACATTTTTGTTCATAGTTAAGATACTTGAATACATTTATCAGATATAACTTCCAAGCTTAGTGTCACTTTAACCACTTGAAGTCTGCAGTGTTACAACCCCTTCCTGTCCAGGCCATTTTTCCATATTCAGCAAGGCTGAATATGGAAAAGGCAGTCATGCCAGGCTGTACTGAAATGAATTTTATACAATTTTTTGGGGACAGATAGAGCTTTCTTTTGGTGGTACCGAATAGAAAAATCAAAAGCGCCAAGTAGAATCATCAACCGAAAAATGCATGTAAAGGATTACTAGGGGTGCTGCCCCACTTCAGCCAAGGGAACTGTAGCACTATGAGAAAACAAAAGAGAAGGGCGCCCACCCTAGTGCAGATGGTTTTTATTATTGAAAGGTAACAAAACAGAGTAGAAACATACTCACAATTGTAGATCAAATGAGAGCATTCCACAAAAACGTAGAGGACATCGGTAAGAAGCTGCACAGTCAGCCTGTGTGCCAGCACATAATGCCTGCGTTAACGCGTTTCCGGGGTCACGCCCCCTTCCTCAGAACGTGACCTCAACCTCACTCGTGTAACAGTATATAGTAGTGAAGGGCCAATAGGAAGTGCTCAATGATGAGGGAAGCCGCCTCTCATGATTGGACCTCAGCGCTGAGGTCCCGTCATGGTAATCGAGGCGCTGACTGAGAGGCGGCTTCCCTTCACATGGAGGTGGGGGACTAAAACATTTTTTGGTGGTTTTTTTAATACTTTTTTTTTTATATGTGACTTATTTTTTATTACTTTTTTATTTTTTTTACACTTAATGTCATCGCTATCACATAGGGGGATAACAATCCCCCTATATAATAGCAAAGACACACTGACAGGTCCTCTTTATGGAGACATTAGGGGTCTCTAATAGGGCTGCAGCTAACGATTATTTTCTGTGCGCGGTGGGCATGGCGTCCGCAGCGTGCATAGTGTAACTCATGTATGGAGCTGCGAACAGGCGGGCGTGAGTGGGAAATTGAATTTTTAGCCGACGAATCGACGATGGAAAACGCTGACAACGTTTACCTTCGTCGATTTTTATCGCTTTAATCTAATAATTGTTGCAGCTCTACAGAATACCAATGTATAATACAGCGGCACACTGCTGAACATTAGCAGCTGTAGAGGAACAACAAATCCCAACAATAATACATTATACAGCCTGTTTAATATATTATTGCTGGGATTTGGTGTTTCTCTATAGCTACTAATGTTCTGCAGTGTGCCGCTTTAAAAAAAAAAACAAAACACATAGGAAACATTACAAAGCTCCCGGCTGATCTCGACTTACCTTGAATGACGGTGTTGTCGGCGGGCAGCGGAGTTGTTCGTTGTCGGCAGGCAGCGGCGAGTCGGAAAGCTCACTGGGAGGAGAGGGCCAGACGCATGTCCTCAGCGTGGACGTGTCGTAAACGGGTATACCAGCGTAGGTGCGAGCGGCTTAACTGATGTGGGCATGGCGTAAGCGTCGGACGTTAGCAGCGGCGAGCGAGAAATTTGAATTTTAGCCGACGAATCGACAATGGAAAACGTTGACAACGTTTTCCATCGTCGATTTTAATCGACTTAATCGAATAATTGTTGCAGCTCTAGTCTCTAAAACCCCTAATGTCACCTGGGGACCCCCAAAGAAGCTGATGAAGTAGAGATCTGCTTCATCAGCTTCTTCTCTCCGGCTATAGCAGCCAGAGGACTGACAGGTGAATGCGGAAGTGATGTATTGCACATCACTTCCGCATTCACACTACTTGAGGGAGATCAGCATGGAGGAAGATGCTGTCCTCCCTCCCATCTTCCTCCCGACACCCTCCTGAGCCGGTCCCAGGCCGCAGATGGGGTAGCGGATCCCGGGATTGAAGGTGAGGGTGTAGGAGGGGGTCGGTGCGCAGCCACAACATACAAGCAATCGACGGCTATAGAGCCACCGATTGTTTGTATGCCAAACAGCCGGTAACGGCTCCTCAGAATGGATAGGTTTTTTCTGCCCATGCACGCGTGCAGAAAAAAAAAGCCGTCTAATTACGGCAACCCGCCCATGTGAGTTTGCCGTCGCTCCGTTTTTAACAACGGGCGGACGGCAATCGGTTAAGGAGAGGAAGCTCACAGTGTCCTTTTGTCTTTCTGTGGTTAGAGCCAGAGTTTCCTGTTAGTTTTAAATTGTACAGAGAAGCTTGCAGTCTGGCCAAAGGCCTGCCCCACAGAGACATCTTAACGTGTGTGTATGTATGTATATATATATATATACCGTATTTTATATATACACAGATTTGAGAAAACCCCACTATATTTTTGTTATGTGTTCCCATTCACACAGCATACCGAAAAAAGTATATATATATATACCGTATTTTATATATACACAGATTTGAGAAAACCCCACTATATTTTTGTTATGTGTTCCCATTCACACAGCATACCGAAAAAAGTATATATATATATACCGTATTTTATATATACACAGATTTGAGAAAACCCCACTATATTTTTGTTATGTGTTCCCATTCACACAGCATACCGAAAAAAGTATATATATATATACCGTATTTTATATATACACAGATTTGAGAAAACCCCACTATATTTTTGTTATGTGTTCCCATTCACACAGCATACCGAAAAAAGTATATATATATATACCGTATTTTATATATACACAGATTTGAGAAAACCCCACTATATTTTTGTTATGTGTTCCCATTCACACAGCATACCGAAAAAAGTATATATATATATACCGTATTTTATATATACACAGATTTGAGAAAACCCCACTATATTTTTGTTATGTGTTCCCATTCACACAGCATACCGAAAAAAGTATATATATATATACCGTATTTTATATATACACAGATTTGAGAAAACCCCACTATATTTTTGTTATGTGTTCCCATTCACACAGCATACCGAAAAAAGTATATATATATATACTTTTTTCGGTATGCTGTGTGAATGGGAACACATAACAAAAATATAGTGGGGTTTTCTCAAATCTGACTGCAAAATGAGAACTACACTAGTCTTGGACCCTGGAGCCCTGGATAGAATTGAATGCTTTACACTCCACCAGTAGCGTACTCTGTAATGATTCTACTAAATGCTGCCTTTTTAGTAGACATTCTTTTTGTACTTTAATGCTGTGAAGATTGCGGTCAAAATATTTAGCATTAAATAAAGAATAATAAAATCTGTTTTGATGTTTCCAATTATTTTTGCATGCAGGTTCCAATGGCGCGAGCCAGCATTCTTTGGCTAATTGGAGAATATTGTGAGCGAGTACCTAAAATTGCACCTGACGTTCTGCGGAAGACGTCGAAAACCTTCACTAATGAAGATGACCTTGTCAAGTTGCAGATATTAAACCTTGCTGCTAAGCTTTACTTAACCAATTCCAAACAGGTAAAGTCAGTTAAGTGTACTGTCTGTCAGCATCTGTTGTAAACAAAAGAATGAAAACTAACACACTTATCTCCTGATTAAATTGTGCCGTGTCTTTTTACTGTTGTTTAATGCTTCTGCTAAATATGATAGCCTTTTAGAAAGAAAAATTTAAGTTGACTTTTACCCCCTTTCAGTAAATATCACATCGGCATGCAGCAATGAATGCGGATATTAAATCATCTTACATTAAAGGAGGACTATGAGGTGAGTTATTTCCACTCATCCTCATAGTTGGAGCCGGCCAATGACAAAGAAGCTCTCACAGGTGGGCTCTATGGATGGGGAAGTGAGCAGAAAAATGCCGCCGATCCGCTCACTTCCCGATTGTATCCCTGCAGTGAGTGGTGACTGTCAGTCTCCAATCCCTGCAGAGATTCCTTCCCCGCACTGAGTGGAGGGGGGAGGGGCGGACAGAGCTGGCTCTGTCTCTAGATAGGCACAGTCCACTGTCACTCATGCAGCAGGGTGGATCTCGACAGTATTGTCGGGATTCATCCCGGCTGCAGCACTCTCAGTATTGCCCACGATATACTGCGCTTTGGTAGAAAAAGATGGTAACCGCATAAATTTATATCCAGCCTTTGTAGCAGGGTGCACATGGGAAGGCTTACAACAATACAAAACACAAAAAGTCCCCAGGTTTTAGTTGCACAAACGTGCATTTTTGGTTGCTGGGCTTCCAGGGCGTACCTGCACCCTATGAGGAGGAATACAGAGACGGTGCCTTAACCACCTCCTAGATCTGAGCGGGCGTCTTTAGACGTCCGCTCAGACACGCCCCCTTGCGCGCGCGAGCTGGAAACGGCCGAAATTACAAAACAGGCAGCGATGCCTGTTACCATACAAGCGTTCCGCCGGCGGATCGCGTGTATGGGGTGCTGATCGGTTCCCCCCCGCCGTTGTCCCGCTGATCCCGGGCTCCGCTGTGCCCGGTGCGAGCCCGGGATCAGCAGGTCGCCTGTGTCACGGGATCAGAGGGAGCTCTGTACACAAGCTCCATCCGGTCCCCTCTCCTCTGCAAGAATGCGGAATTGTTGTATAATACATCACTTCCGCATTCTTGTGTCACTCTCCAGCTTCAGAAGCTGGAAAGAAGCTGATGGAGCAGATCAGCTTCTTTTGGGGGGTCCTAGGTGACATTAAGGGTCTTGGAGACCCCTGATGTCTCCATAAAGAGGACCTGTCACATATGTTGCTATCACATAGAGGTTTTTATTAGCCCCCTATGTGATAGCAATAAAGTTTAGTGAAAAAAAAATTTAAATTCCCCCCCCCCCAAAAAAAATATAAAGTTACACATAAAAAAGAATTAAAAAACAAAAAAAATGTTATAAGTCCCCACCCATACATACACGCATGCAAACATGTGTCGGGGGCGCATATGTGCAAAAAAGACGATTACGCCGCATATGTTACCTATCGCCGTGAACGTCGCAGTGAGAGCAATAAGTCTAGGAGCATCAATCACTGATAACACTAAACTGATGAGTGGTAAAAGCTTTTAAAGTGTCGCCTATGGCCAATTTTGGGTATGGTAGTTTTCTGCGATTTCGCTGGTGCGCGCAATTTTAAAGCTTGACATGTTTGGTGTCTATTTACCCGACGTGACCCCGACTTTTATATTTTACCAAAAAACTGGGTTATAATAAACGTTTCCTAACATAATGTTAAAAAAACAACTTATTTTTTTCAATTATTTCTGTAATTTTTCCTAGTTATAGTAAAAAATAAAAACCCAAGTGGTGTTTAAATACCACCAAAAGAAAGCTCTATCTGTCCCCAAAAAATTGTATAAAATTCATTTCAGTACAGCGTTGCATGACGGAATAAACGTCAGTCAAAGTATCGCAGCGCTGAATACTGAAAAATGGCCTGGCCAGGAAGGGGGTCTAAACACCTGGTCTTGAAGTGGTTAAAGAGGGTTTACAGAGGTGCCTTGACGGTGGCAGTGTGGCTTCTACATATTTTTGGCCAAAGGTTTGTGCAACTAAAACCTCTGCTTTTAAAGCATACTGTTAGACAGGGTCATTTGTTTTGTTGAAGGCTAGCTGGCAGGTGTGCTGGAGACTTTTTGTGTTTTGTATACTGAGCTTTGGGTCGCTGGAGGAGGTCAGTATATGTCCTCCCGTGACCCTAAAGAGAACGAAGGGGAAAAACACTTACCCCAGAGTTTACTTTTAAGTAGTTAAACAGTTAAACATATTTTTCTTTTACATACAGTTACAGTTTCTTCACTTATGGTCCTCTTGGACATTAGTGATGTAGCCCATGCCTAAGAGGTGCATCCTGGGAAGGTTACATCAGCAGTGCATTGCTGAAACTGCCCTGTTATCTTGTACTGGACAGGAAGTTCAGGGAAGCTGAGCTTAGAAAGTTGGAGCCAGCTGTTCGGAAACATGATGACCATACGTACAAAAAAGTAAAAAAAAATACTTTGCTGAGCAAATCGGTTCTGGATTAATAAAAAAAAGTTTTTTTAAAGAGTCAAGGTTTACCCTGACAGGTCTAAGTCTTTATTGCTGCCTGCGCACCATGGCAGAAATCCTTGCAGAACTCCGTTGTTGACCTCTTTGGAGTGCATTTTTCCTATGTTCTTATGGAGAATCCACTCCAGACTGGTTGTTCCACTATTATAGTTTCTCTGGCCCCCTACTATATTTGTCAGTGTGCGGAGAATGAATTGACAGGGGTTTCCCTCCAATGAAAAGTTATAGAGTTCAGAGTCACATTTAAAAATATGCCTTTGTGCATTTCCCACTTCACACCATTACACACTTGATTCTTTGCAATACCACAATAGTGTTCAGCGTTAAGATTGCTGAATATAAGGAATGAATACATACGATGACCTCCCTTTTTGATTGACACAACTACAAAAGTTAGATCCAGCTTAACACGGGCCTGGGGATGTGAGATGATCGCAATAACCAACATTTGTCCAGCTATGTCAGTAGGCTGCAGTATAAAGAGATTAATTGCATGACTCCCAAGAACAGTCGTAGGTTATTACTGGTCTGGGTCAGCCTAATATTAGGAGTGTTCTGTGGGTCGCATCTGTAATTTTTCATTTTATTTTTCGATTAGTTAAGATCTAATCACATATTTTCACATGGAGCTTAAGAAACGGCCATATATTCCTGTGTAACAGCAGCTTATGTATGCCTGTGTTAGGTTCATTCATACCATATTGTGACTCCTGTCTAGTACTTTGCACACTAATTCTCAACTCAAAGGGTATCTAAACCAGAGAACTAAAATATAACATATTGCATGAACAGTCACTAGATGTTGTGGATATATTAGTTTTCTTTTTTTCAGGCTTTTTTCATTTATTTTTACCTAGTGATCCCGCCAATAACTCGAATCCTGTCCAGAGTGACCCAGGACAAGAAGTGTGTTAGAACTACAGAACACCGCCGCTCCCCCCTTTTTTTTTTCTCCCTAATAAAGTAAAGAAGTGTTCTCTAGTCCACAGAGAGAACTGTGAACATTGCTAATTGATAGGAGTGCAGTAGAACCCTAAAAGAGAAAGGAATAAAAGCACTTTTTCTTAAAGAGAAACTGTCCCCTTGTTTGTTATGGCAGAGTTACAGTATCTTTGCAATGGGATCCCTCTGACCCACTTATGCTAACCTTGGCAAAGCTCCTCCAACACCCCTCCTCCATCACAGCTAGCACTAAAATCTCCACTGTCAGTTGGTAAGACGCTAGGGGGAGTTGTGACGTCGTACCTTCTGCCATGTGCCAGTGTTCCAGGCCAAGGTATTGTTAGCTGCAAGGGAGGCAAAAAGTTGCGGAGAAGCACTGGAAAGTTGGGTATGATTATTGCTGGGGGCGGGTTATAGGTTCCTTTGCAAAGACACTGTCACTTTGCCCTAAATAGGCAAGGTGATGGTGGCTCATTAAGCTGTATGTAGTCTTTGGGGTCTGTCTGTGGAGCATTAGCTCAATATAAGGCATCCCTTAACATTTCTCAATGCTTGCCCACAGTTAAGGTGCCCATACACTGCTCGATTCTCGTACGAGAATCGGGCGAAATCCCGCGATCGTACGAGAATCGAGCAGTGTGAACTAAGACGTGCGACCGTTTCTACTGAACGGTCGCACGTCTTTTGTCGAGCCAACATGCTTGAAAACCAGCCGAGAATCGTACGATTCTCGGCGGGTTTCTAGCCTGCTAGTCCGATAGCTGCGGAACGGGCCGGTGTGCGCACGCGCACACTGCCCGTTCTGCATTGCCCTCAGCGGGGCGGGCTTCCGATGATCGCAAGTACGATCTGCCCGTCCAAGGTGGGCAGATCGTACGGGCTTTTAATGAGCATACGACCATCGCAAGACAAAAGTCTTGCGATGGTCGTAAGGTGTATGGGCACCTTAAGAAAGCAAAGTTCACACAGGATTGGCTCAGCTAATGTGTTTCTTAGGATGGCTTCCTTCTGTATCTTCTCTCCTCCTGTTTTTATAGCTCATAACGTGCTTTCTGCACAGAAGTCATGTGCTGTATTAAACTAATTGTATGGCTCCTGGGATTTATGTTATTGATTCAACCAAGTAAGAGTAGCAACCATGAAATTGAGTTTTTATTTTTCAAGTAACACCTGGCTGAAATATGCCCACTTAGAATTGTTAATAATGATTGCTAGGCTGCCTGTTGTCCAATCTGAGTGGGTGGTTATGTAATGTCAAGCATATGGCAATATGAAAATCACCTTAATATTATGGAATTATGGCAGGTTTATCAGCTGAGAGACCTCTCCTATCTTATCTTGATTACATGTAATTCTTAAATGTGCTGCAGGCGTTTTTCTTCCTCACTTCAGCACACTAAGTATATGAATTTGCTTCATTAGTTAAAATAACCACATTTCACACTCTGCATTTGTTATTCTAGGCGTTTGCATCTTTATTTGTGCAGCATATACACACTTACCAACAGAATGTGTTGTGACTCTCTTTAACAAACATTTATGCATTTCAGATGCATCTAATTTAGAACATAATGGTAAAATTTGGTTTCCTCTATGCTATTATAAAAATGATCTCAATTCTGTTTTTAATGTAGCATATTCAACGGGCGAATTAAGAAGTGATGGAACATTCCCCATAAAACAAGCTGTTACCTTACATAAATAAATGAACAATATTACTGTCGGCTTTAAGCAGTCTTTTATCTCAGTTTTTAGAGGGCATCAGCAGCTTGCTTTTATGAAAAAGTAACAGCTAAATGCACTGCAAATAATTTGCAGTAATCCAGTCCGGTGATTCATGGGTCTCCTTTAATGGGTTGTAATTCAGAGCAAAGTAACAGAGTGCGGAGAGAGTGCACGGACCTTAGTGGTGCAGGGACACTATCTCTTCATCAAACAGTCCTTGGATGGTACATTTTGCCAGCTCCCTAAGACCTGCAGAGGTTCTGATGCCCTGCATATTTTCTTAATTAAGTTTTGAGTGCCATGTTTTTCGTTGTATTTCCACATTCATTATCCTCACATAGACCCTTCAGTGGGTTTGCCATATATGATTATTTTTTAATGATGCCTTTCTTTCCACTTCGGCAGTTTAATAATCTAGCACATGGCTGCTCGGCTGTAGTTAGCATTCACCTCCCGGCTCCTGAAAGGACATGAGCATTGGCTCTGATATACCATTTACAGCTTTAGACATGTCTTCTCCCCATGGGGTGACATTTGTTTGTCTTAACCATTCACTTTTATTACCTCTTATAAATATGTTTGCTGATGGTCATCAATAATCATAAATAAGCCATCTTTCTTTCTTTTTTTTTTCTTTAACTCTTGACAGACTAAACTGCTCACGCAGTACATATTAAATCTTGGCAAATATGATCAGAATTACGACATCCGGGACCGCACGCGGTTTGTAAGGCAGCTTATTGTTCCAAATGAGAAGAGTGGAGCTTTGAGTAAATATGCCAAGAGGATATTTTTGGCCCAGAAGCCGGCTCCTGTGCTTGAATCACCTTACAAAGGTACATGGAATACGCAGATGTCTTTATTTTTGAATGAGCGTAAAGCTGGCCACACGCAGTCAAATTATCAGGTCTGTCAGGGTAAGAGCTTACAAACAAAGGTATACTGCGAAGATGAGCTAGTGATATACTTTTTACCATTTATAAATGTTAAAGTGACACTAATCTCAGGAGTTAAATCTTAAAAATGCATTCAAGCACCCTAGCTATTAACAAAAATGTATGTTAATTGTGCATCTCTTGGCTGTAGATCCTCAAATCATCTCTGAATTGGTGCTGACACTGTCCTTCCTTCTTGCTCCCCATGGTCCCTGCGTTTGTGGTAAAGTAGCCACCACTCCAAGCTCACTCCCGTGATGGACTACAATCTCTCTTTTAGTTTAGTCATTTGTATCAGGATTGTAGCCCATCACGGGAGTGAGCTTGGAGAACGAAGGACAGTGTCAGCACCAATTCAGAGACGATTTGAGGATCTGCAGCCAAATGATACACAAATAAGATGCGTTTTTGTTAATAGTCAAGGTACTTGAATACATTTTTAAGATTTAACTCCTGAATTCAGTGTCACTTTAAATAGTGACAAGACATTTGCAGCCTTATACTGTATAATAATAGAAAGTACAAAGTGCAGTATTTCATGGCAATTCATCATGAAGTCATCTTTGTTCTGGTCGCTCTAAAACCATGGTGTTACGTAGAATGTAATTTTGCACATCATGTCTGTTTTTTTGCGCTGTTTAATTTAATTAGCTTGAAGGACTCAACCTACAAATGATACGCAGGGATCAGCAGTAGTGTGACTGCTAATGTGAGATTGTCTTCTTCTTTGGTTCCTGCTCTATTAAAGACACCATTGTGTTGTGGCTTCTGAAGGTGACTCTATCTCTGGACTTTGTTTTCTATTAGAATCACATACAAGTAGTTTTGTCCTGTACCTTGTTTTTATCACTTGTATACCCTTAAAGATGAACCCTGGGCAAGCTGCTGAATGCACAAATGGATAAAAACGGTAAAAATGGCGAGCGCACAAATGATGTGGAATGTGGTGAGGGAAATGGATGTGTTTAAAAACAATTTTAATTTTAAAACAATTAGGGGTGAGCAAGCTTCTTGTTCAGGGGGAGGAACCCTGTAGGCATATGGAAAAAGGAGGGTGGAAAGAAGCGCTGCAGCCCTGGTATTTTTTTGTAGTACAAATAGAAACTTTAAAATCAATGTTTGACTGAAAACTCACTGTTTGGACGGACAAGATGAGGTCTTGCAGTTGAGGAGTGGAGGCTGTAATAGATCGCTCAGCGGCATCTGTGGCCGGTCTGTGTGGGTATGAAGAACGGGCTACATCGTTAATAGGCAGGTCATAGATGTTCCCTGGTGGTTGTTGTACCTGGGGGGTCCGTTGGGACAGAGTGAACCACTTCTGGCTTGACAACCTCCTGAACCTCGAAACGCGTAGCCAAACCCTTCACTTCACGGACCGCAGTGTCCATCATTTTCAAATCAATCCCCCACAACATTTCCTCCACGATCGCTGATCCATTGCGATACCGATCCACAGCTGCATTCCTGCTCCCGTTCAGCCGACAAGTGGCAGCCTGGCCAGCTGAGCTCTCATTGCACCTGACGGTGAGTGCCACGTCCACCAGCACAGTTCACTCTGTCCCAACGGACCCCCCAGGTACAACAACCACCAGGGAACATCTATGAACTGCCTATTGACGATGTAGCCCGTTCTTCATACCCACACAGACCGGCCACAGATGCCGCTGAGCGATCTATACAGCCTCCACTCCTCAACTGCAAGACCTCATCTTGTCCGTCCAAACAGTGAGTTTTCAGTCAAACATTGATTTTAAAGTTTATATTTGTACTACAAAAAAATCCCAGGGTTGCAGCGCTTCTTTCCACCCTCCTTTTTCTGAATGCACAAATGAAATACATATGTGAGCTGTCTTATTGCTAAAGCATTTGCTGATCTCTCTAGTTAATCTTGTGGTCCATGCACAACTGCTAGATGGCATAACCAGGTCCTCAATTTCTATTGCTGCAGCAGTGCTAAAGAGTCAAGAACATATTCCTGGTTGTTGATTCAGCACAAGCGGAGGTGCAGAATGCATATGAGGTCATTCTTCTCTTCCATCTGCCCCCTTCTCATATCTCCAATAGGCAGCATTTACAGTCTCTGGTGAAGACTGTCTCATTTTATTTCTTTTGTGACTTAGTAGTACACAGGGCCCACTCAAGCAGAGACTGTAACAGTGTCTGACAATAGGTAGCCCACGGCACTGTGAACTGGGTAAGCAACAATCTAAGGCTAAAAGTTCAGAGCCTCATCGCCTCCATTGGCACTTACGAAAGGCAAAACAAACAAGTTCCTGTGCGGTTTTAGCCATGAAAATCCATTACAGGATAGGGCCATATACTCCAAATCAATTTGTCATTGTAAAAACTTTTTATTTTTGTAGTACCTTGATTTCAATGGCAAGATGTATCTTAATTGCAAGTGTTAGTATGCTCACGCAATTATCGCCATTTATTATTTTGTTTGTTTTAGAGCCTTGCATCACACAAATACGCCTGTTCCAAGACCCAGTCTTGCCTGACTAAAGCTCAAGTTTATTCATATTTCACATTGTACAGCAGTCATTAATGGAGTACCTTGATGCATTTCAATTGTTTGTGCTTACTTATTAGTTTCACGAGTAAACAAAAAAATTACAACCAGGTAACAAACTTGCTGTAGTCCCCTGCACAAACTAGGGCAGTAGGGGCCAGCCCTGCGGGCCAGTCAGACTCCTCTGCATCTTATGGTCCTCTTTTACACTGTTGACAGGAGGAGCAAAAAGATGGATGAGCTTACTGGTGTGTTTCCAGTTGCCAGCTGGCAAGATGTATTGCTTAATTGGTGTATTGAAATGCAAGGTTACCAACCTGGCTAGGCAATCTTGCAGGTGTGCCAGAATCTGACTGATTAGGATTTACTAGAAAGTCCTTTTGAAAGTAAAACCGTTATGTACTTTGTGTATTTAACTGTCAGCCTAGAGTTTACCTTTAAACAAAGCACTGGATCAGAGACAGGCTGTAATAATACCAGTGTGCAGTCCTCTTCACAAAGCTTAGGGCTGTGTACCATTTTCCTGATCGTGTAGATTCATTGCTAATTTCTGTTCTAATGGTGTTTGGTGTAGCAGAAAAAGAACCATTAAAATTCTGAATGAGTTGGAGGCAAGCCTTGTATATGGATTGTTTAACTGCGCTGTCATTCTTAATATTCATTGTACAGTCATTTTTATAGAATCTACATTTCACTGCAACACCTCTAAACATACTGAGTGATTAGCTTTTATATTGACTATTATGAAGGTGATTATTGTAATGCATGGATTGAAGTAATCGTCCTAACCTATGGAAAGGCTCTTTACGTTTATTCTCTGAAATTCAAGCTAATGCAACAGCAGTAAGTGCGCATCTTCTAATGTTTGTCAAATGTTTTCATACTTCATTGTAATCAACTGTTTGCTATTGGTTTCTCATTCAATAGATCGAGACCGTTTTCAGCTGGGCACACTTTCTCATACACTGAATGCCAAGGCTTCTGGTTTCCTGGAGTTATCTGACTGGCCAGAAGAAGCACCTGATCAGTCTGTGCGAAATGTGGAAGTCGTTGAATCGGTAGGCACCCTTTAAAATGAGATTTGTATTAAGGAAGCGGTCCAATCATTAGAATATTGTTTTGTTTTTTTTTAAAAACCATCCGTGACAAATCTGTGAATAGTTTATACTGTTTAGGAAAAAGGCTGAAAGCAGATGTCTGCCCCCAAAAAAGATGCACTACTACTCAAACGTAAACTAGCTCCTATGCTGGGTTCAGCTTTTAACACCTTGATGTTTCTCAAAGCAAAAATGGTAGCTTAAGCCAGTCGTACAGAGGGTTTGCAGAATCCTTTTGTGGTATAGCAAGTATATTGGGCAGTCCGACTTGCTCCCTCCATTTTGTCTAGGAATGGCCTAGATATTGCCCAATCCTCAACCAATCATTGCATAACACCATTATATTGTCCTAACAGGCAATATATGGCCACCCTTAAAGTGAACCTCTGTCCAGACCATTTCCATATTCTGAACAGACAATAAATGCATTTTGAAATGAGCCCTCTAGCTATAGGCATTGTGGAGCAATTTATCTTCAAAATTCACAACAGAAGCACTGAGATCACAGCTCCTCTATCCTTATTTTCTATGGAAGCAGGCTTCTATGTTCCTATATTTGTATAGAGTTAATATGTGCTGTAGACTGAGACACTTCCAGCCACTTCACTGAGATACAGTGCACTCTATTGTTGCGCTAAAGGGACGGATTCCATGTATTTAGTGCATGCTACTACACAGCGCAATGCACCGCATGCTAGGTGTTCCAGAGCGTGGTGCTGCCATCCATTAATGGCACCCCTACACACCTCCCTGCTGGCATACATTGCAGTGAAAACATAGTAATGCATGTATTATTTTCTTTTTATCACCCAGCACCACAACACTATTGCGGTATTGTGTATTGTCATGCAGAACAATGCACGTCTACCAGAAGGTGCATTGTTGTGCCATTCAGAATGAATAGCAGTGCACCTAGCGTGTGGTGCATTAGTGTGTGCTAAATGCACGGAAACCAGTCTTACCACTAAAACTATGTAGGAAAAACCCTACAATAAAAAAAAAAATCCTCATTTTGTATCTAGTCAGGTAGAAGCCTTTTTTTGCTGCTCTGTCTGGCCACAGGTCAGGTCTCAACTAATTGTTTCAGGTAAAGTCGCTTACGGTCTCATTCTGCCTAACCTTTCGGTTAGGAAGTGAAGATGCTCATGTGATTCCCTAGCCACATCTAAAGTCCTGACCTAGAGTGGATATTATGTGCGGAACAGGTTTATAATATAAAGATCTTTTTTGTTTTTGGCAGGCTTAGTATTAAAAATTGACTTTAGGTCCTCTTTAATAAACTCAGATTGCAGTATTTGCACACGTTGAATGATTTCACTTCTGATCAGTTGTATCTCACCACCAGTAAAACAGTGTTTGAGCAGTCTCTAATGAGCATAGGCACCAGGCGTATTTTTGCTTTCTGTGTCCACTTATACATAGCCTTATTTTATTTAAGAGAACGTTTAAATCCATATGATTTAAGGGAAAGCAGGATCACTGGCTGATAATTCAAGAACACTGTGACAAGGGGATATCGGAACACTGAGATTGTTCTTTGAACTTTTGTACTCCCAGTTAAACAGTCCATCAGCATATTTCAATGAATGTATTAATCATCTTTCTGTCTTATCTAAGTGCAGTCTAAATATGACTTTACCATGTCTCCCTCGCCTACTCTAGCAATAAATAAAATACTCTATCTGCCACCTTCTTGCCCTCTACACCTTTTGTAGAATAACTTCAACAAACTTCACAGTATAAATTGTTTTGAAGGAGAAGGCAATTTGTCAAATTAAAACACTCTTCGCATCAGCTGTATCCAATAAAAGAAAATCAGTGTTTACAGCTTCCCTTATCAGACTTGAAAAAACTCACCTTTGCCAGATCTGCTTTTCTCTGAACGTGTGAAAAGGAAATGGATTATTTTATTAAGAATTTGCATGATGTTATTTTTTAGGTTGTATTGAATTTGTTCTTTGACATAGTTGGCTAGTTGCACAGTGTACTAATGCTGTGTTGTGGAATCTTATTAAAATGAAAAGCATTGTTTTCTGAGCTAACTGTGTTGAACTATTGATGTCATTAGCGGCAAGGAATTTAGACCCGTGAAGTCCTACATGGCTGCTTGTTGTCACTAGGGGCTAGCCAGATGGCCCTTTTTTTGTGATTAGAGGTTAGCTGCATGGCTCCTTGTCACTAGAGTCTAACCACATGGCTCCTTGTTAACACCAGAGGCTAGCCACATGGCTCCTTTTCACCAGAGACCAGCCACATGTCCCTGTGTCACCAGAGGCTAGCCATATGACTCCTTGTCACCAGGGGCTTACCGTATAGTCCCTTGTCACCAGAGGCTTACCGCATAGCCCGTTATTGTCAGTGGAAGCAAGCCGCATGGCTCCTTGTCAGTAGAAGGAAGCTGCATGGCTTCTTGTTGTCACTAAAGGCTAGCAGCGCGGTTCCTTGTCATCAGAGGCTGGTTGCATAGCCAATTTTTATCACTAGAGGCTAGCCGCTTGGCTCCTTGCTGTCACTAGAGGCTAGCCGCTTGGCTCCTTGCTGTCACTAGATGCTAGCCGCTCGGCTCCTTGCTGTCACTAGAGGCTAGCCGCTCGGCTCCTTGCTGTCACTAGAGGCTAGCCGCTCGGCTCCTTGCTGTCACTAGAGGCTAGCCGCTCGGCTCCTTGCTGTCACTAGAGGCTAGCCGCTTGGCTCCTTGCTGTCACTAGAGGCTAGCCGCTTGGCTCCTTGCTGTCACTAGAGGCTAGCCGCTTGGCTCCTTGCTGTCACTAGAGGCTAGCCGCTTGGCTCCTTGCTGTCACTAGAGGCTAGCCGCTTGGCTCCTTGCTGTCACTAGAGGCTAGCCGCTCGGCTCCTTGCTGTCACTAGAGGCTAGCCGCTCGGCTCCTTGCTGTCACTAGAGGCTAGCCGCTCGGCTCCTTGCTGTCACTAGAGGCTAGCCGCTTGGCTCCTTGCTGTCACTAGAGGCTAGCCGCTTGGCTCCTTGCTGTCACTAGAGGCTAGTCGCTTGGCTCCTTGCTGTCACTAGAGGCTAGCCGCTTGGCTCCTTGCTGTCACTAGAGGCTAGTCGCTTGGCTCCTTGCTGTCACTAGAGGCTAGTCGCTTTGCTCCTTGCTGTCACTAGAGGCTAGCCGCTTTGCTCCTTGCTGTCACTAGAGGCTAGCTAGCACGGCTCCTTGCTGTCACTAGAGGCTAGCTGCATGGCTCCTTGTCAGTATAGGCAAAAAGCATGACACCTTGTTGTCACCAGGGGATAGCCACATGGCCCATTGTCACTAGAGTTAAGCAGTGCGGCTCCCTGTTGCCACTAGGGGCAAGGTGTGTATAAATAGTTTATTATTGAGCATCTGTTGCCTTAAATTTCCATTCAAGTTCATTAGGAAAGGTATTTTTTTCCCTATTTTTAGGCAAAAATATGGGGGCCTTTGGAAGGAAAGCAGAAAAAAGAGAAACCATCTTCAGGCAAGTTCTATTCAGAATCTGAGGAAGAGGAGGAAGCATCTGCAGCATCCAGTGGTAATTTCTTTTGGGACAAGGACATCAAATTCTAACAGATTTTAAACATTTTACCATATGCTTTTCTTATTATCTCGTAATATACTGTTAAATATAGGGACATCTTAAGGTGACATGTACTGAATGGCATCTACAGTGGTCTGCCCAACAAAAAATCCTCTGTATGTATATATGTGTGTGTATATGTGGTTTTTTTTTTTTGTTCACGTTCCTTTGGCACAGGTTGTTTATACATGGGGAATTACATACAGCGTCTATTGCTTAGAATAGATGGCAGTTAAGGGACAGGCTTGAGGGACAGGTTTTGTATTTATTTTTTGTAAGTGCATTAACATACAATGCACTAGCCAAGCCTTGAGATCTTTAGCTTTTTGTTACAACTGATAATGGGAGAACTGCACAGTTGTGTTAATACAAACAGGGTTAATTATGGCAAACACACCCCCTCTTTAGGATTTCAGCTAAAATAAAGGTAGGCAGTAATTTTGAAATATTTTTAATGTTATGCTATGTGAATGTGAACAAGTAACAAATATAAAATTGGTAATACTCTCAAATGGTGACATCACTCCCTAAATAAACTTTATTGACACAACACGGGTAGACACTGCCCCTCTAACACAGTCAGCACCCGCAATGCCCATGTCTCATGTATTATGGGCTGAGAGTTTTTGGAGCGGTGGATCAAAGCATATTCAACAAATATAAAATAGGTGTTATCCTAATTTGTTTGGAAATTGGAAAAACACTTTAAACCTTGATTAGCCTGTGTGATGTGAAGCCTTTCCTGTGTGGGCTAAATACTTTGTTATACTGTCTCTTTGCTAGAAAATGAGTCTGACAGTGAGGAGGAAAGCGATGATCAGGAAGGCAGCTCTTCAAGTGAGGAAGAGGATGAATCTGAGGATGAGAAAAGCAAGAAAGAAGATAAAAGTAATAGGTAATGGTTTAACTCAATTTTGCACTTCATTTCGGCCTCCTTATGTGTTTCAGCACAGGCAACCGTATTCCATAAGAAGCCATAAGACGACAAATGGCTTTTGCCCGTGCGTGCCCGCTAGGGGGCGCGCGCGAGCAGAAAAATTTTTTTTCAACCCGCAGATGCAGCAGTGCCGTCCGTCCGTTTTTCTACTACGGGCGGACGGCAAGAGGTTAAAGCAAGCTTGCAAACATTTCTGCTGCACCTGTGTGAGATATCTACATAATACAGAATATACCTACACATATATGAAGAATCAATTACTGCAGGTAAAAGAGGCTTGACTCTCTGTCCCAACCAAGCACATGCTAACAGAGCTGAACCAGGCTTTGAGAGAAGATTTTCTGGGTCATAAAGATAATTGTGGCCTGGTGAAGTATCCAATCCAATAAATTCTTATTCTGTGGCTATTAAAAATGTAACCATATCCAAAATAAATCTATAGTTTTCTTTGTGCAGTCCCAAATGAACTAAGGGGATATAGAAACACCATTCCACCCTGACACGGTCCTTGCAAAAGGAGACCTTAAAAGCTTTAGTCAACAGTTTTTAGTTGATTCCAGAAAAACGAATTAAAGTGTATTTAAAGCAAAACTAGGAGATGTTTTTAACCCCTGATGGTTATTTATACTTTTGCCCTCTCTTCCTCTTTGTCGCAATTTTCCTTTACTTTATGTCTCAAGACACCACAGTAATAAGGCCAGGCTCAAACCATTTTCTGGACCAGATCTGGAACGCAGTGCATTGGGTTTTCGCCGCTTTTTTTTTTAGCATAAAATGGTCTTACAGGTGCACTCCAGTGCTTTTGCATGTGGATTTGATGCATTTCCATGGGTTTCAGTACATTCCAGACCAGAGAAAATAAGACCAGGAATATTTTTCTGGTCTCGACCCGAACAAACTGCGCTGGAATGAACAGAGCCCAGGAATACATTGGGATGTTCTGGTTCGGACATGATCCAGACATGGTGTGAACAAGTCCTGAAAAAAGCAGATCACTTCAAAGTAAGAGAAATCCTCCCTACCCTTTCCCACTTTCTGCCTATATGACTGGCCACGTACACTGTACGTGACGAGTTATATCAGGCTTTGTAATGCTGGTAACAGCTGATTCTCAGCGGTTACCAGTCATTAATGAATGCCTCAGTATTGAGGCATTCATTAGTGAAATAATTAAGCTTTTTGGAAAAAAGCTTCTTCCTTTCATTAATGAAAGAATGAAGCCGTTACATGCAAATACAGGACCGCAATTTGCGATCCCGTATTTGACCGCTGAAAATTGCAGAGAGGTAGCAGTGACTCACCTCTCTGCTATTTTGTTTTGACAGCTGGAGAGCCCGATGTTTAGATACATTTCACTGAAAAGATACAATGTATATCTTTTGAGTGAAATGTATCATTTCTGATCGTCTAGGCACGATCAAAGAGCTTTTAGTGAGATCTGAATCTGACTAAAGTCAGGATCAGTCTCTAAGGTTATTATTAGCTGTTCCTAAGTTTGGATCAGCCTAATAGCCAAAAATAAAATAAAAAAGTTAATTTATCAAGCTGTCATGGTGATTGCTTGATATAAACTGACAAGGAAAAAAAAAAAATATATATATATATATTTTTTTTTACAAAGTGTAAAAAAAATTAAATAAAGTGTAAAACAAAATTAGGAAAATAAAAATTATATATAAATATATTTGTTATACTGTAATTAATATAAAAACATTTTTAAAAAATAATAATAATCAAAACTTTTGAAAAAATTGTTTTCTTCTAGTTTTTTTCCTCATTTTTTTTATTCAAACTAAGTGAGGGGTTAGGTACACATATGTGATATAATTATATAGCCCTATCTGTCCTCTAAAAACCAATATATAATATGTGCGGGGTACATTTAGTAAGGAAGTATATTACTGGCGTGGAAGAATCACACAGCAACAATGTAAAAAGTGTGTCAGTCATTTATGAACAGAAACTGAAAACTAGCTCAGTCATGAAGGGGTTAAGTTTCAATTTCAACTACAGTATCTTATTTGAGAGACTAAAAGATGGACAAGATATATACTTTCACAGAGAAAAAAACCCTAGTTATTATTATTATTATACAGGATTTATATAGCGCCAACAATTTGCGCAGGAGACAGTACAGTTAAAATACAATTTACTTTACAATAAAATGTCAGTACAATAGGGTTAGGAGGGCCCTGCTTGTTAGAGCAGGGGGTCAAGTGTTACAAAAGGTAATAATTGTTTAGATTGAGTTAATGTAAGAAGTAAAAGGGCAGTTATGTTGAGAAGGGATAGGCTTCCCTGAAGAGTTGAGTTTTTAAGGATCAAAAGAAACCGATCACACAACTGACCGGATAATACCCTCAAGTATCGGGTGGGTGCCATATGAAGAAGTCACTCACACTCCAACTCAAGCTTGCCATGTTGTGACACCACAGAGGTCAATAAAATATTGACTGAACTGGAGTGCAAGTGACTTCTCATATTTATATTGAGTTTTTAAGGATCGCCTAAAGGTGGGCAGATTAAGAGATAGGCAGACAGATTGGGGTCAGATGATGAGAGACACTCTGGAAAAGTCATGGAGGCGAGCATGGGAGGAGATGTCAATGTTTATGCATCCATACATTACTTAAGAGGTCAGTCAGTGATATTTCAGTTATCAGTGGAATAAAATGGAACTTCATAAAGAAGATCACCCGCCCAAGTTCCTAGCTCCCTTCCGGCACTAGTTTAAGGCTATCTCAAAAGTCTTTTAGGTGTTTTCGCTTGTTATATTTCCCTTAAACACATTAAAAACTCATCAGGGAGAGCGGGAACCTGTAATGGCATTTGCGAGCTGTCCAAGTTTGCCGACTCAAACACTGAGGTCTCTTTTTCATAATCTCTGGAATTCATAAATCATTAGGTCTTTTAATTGCTCCACACCTACCAGAAACTGAAGCTTTTGGTTTGAGTTCTTCTTGAAGGCCTCTTTGCTGTACTTAGTAGTTTAAATGGGCCTAATAGTAATTGCCAGGAATATTCTCCACTTTATTATGTGCATTTTGTCCTTCCTAAGCACTGTCATGTGGTGGTCTTCATGTAGACGCGCTCACCCTTTGCTCTGTAACCGGCCGCCAACTCAGCTGATGAGTTTGTGGTTAAGCTCAGTGGTGGCTGACAGCCCTGATTGGGGTGCAGTACGCACTCTGCTCCTCTTATTACAGACAGTAATTAAAGCAGCTCGCCTTGCCACTTCCATAACAAACACAGCATAATGCCCTAATTATGACTTTATTAATTTAAGTCAGGATTTAATGATTTTAAAAGTGATTTATATTGTTTCTCCCACTCAGAACAAATGAAATCTGTAGGTTAAATTATTATAGGCTTTTCATCACTGCAAACACAAGCTACTACTTACCATTAAACTCTTCTCATTAGATTCATAATGTGCGTCAGCATGTGAACACCGTTGTATGCTAGATGGGAGGAAAATGATTTGTGAAAACATAGGTAACATTTTGTTATTAGGCAGTGATGTATGGGGAAGCTTTTACTTTATTATTTATATGATAATGATCGAATCAGTGTGATAATGCTTTGTTTTTTTCTTGAAGCTGCATGGATCTAAAGGGGATAAACTCAAAATTCAGCATTTTTTGTGAAAGTAAAACTATTCAAAACACACACACATAAAGTGCAATATAGAGAGGTTAAAGTATCATTAATGCCTCCATTTTTTTTTGCATATATCTACTGCTAGTAAGCAGTAGATATATGCAAAAAGTGTAAAAAAAAGAAAAACGATTTAAAAGAGGTCAATACTTACCTGTGTCTTCCCCGCGCACTCCCGCCCGAAAATGTGAAAATTCTCGGGCGGCCGCAAAGCATCTTGGGGCGGGCACATGCGCAGTTCGGATTCACGGCCAGGAGACGAGGAGAGACACAAGGTAAGTCTATGGACGCGTGCGCTCGTGTGCAGACACCGGACAGGAAGTGCCAGCAAGGACAGAGGAGTCAGTGCTGGATTGGAGACCCGCAGCAACGCTGGAGAGACAGATGAAAACATCAGGAAAGAAGATCAGATTAAGAGACATCATTTAAGGTAAGTGCTTTAATTAACATTGGGGGGAGGGAAACATTTTTTTTACTTTAATGTCACTTTAACCACCTTTTGTGGGATGCCTATACTAGAAGGAATGTACGATTCATGTGCACAATTTCAGAAGTAGAGGACCAGCACCTCCTCACTGTAAATAAGATCTCATTTCATTTTTTTACAAGCTAAAGGCAACTTTTCAAATATGCATCCTATATAAAACAAAACTTGTATTGACCCATCTGCATCTTGCTCACAGCCTGGGATACCTGGTGATATCTATACCTCTATTATTCTCAAGCTGCATCTACATCACATCCTGATACAAAGCAGCAAGAGGCTTCTTCTTATACATGGGAACACCTCACCACAGTATATGGGTGGTCTCTTGCTGTTTTGTATCTGAATGTAGTGAAGTAGTTATTGGGGAACAGTTAGTAAAGTAATTTAAAAAAAGAGTAGGACATTTTTCAAACAATTATTTTTTGCAGTTCAAGACACATTATGATATTTACATTCTTACCCAGAGACACAACAGGAAGATGGATAAAATGTTTCCAAAGCAAGGGGACATATCCCCTTTTAGTTGTCAACCTAAAAGGTGCATCTTGGGAAGATTTCCCCTTGCCTCCTGTTTCCGTAACAACTCTTAAAATGTTAGATTTCCCTTCAGTTTTTTGTCTTGATGACAGTGGTGGAATGTTGTCTTTGTAAATCTAACTGCTCCCTTCTCTGTCCAAAACTAACTAAAATATTTTGGCAAGAGATAAACTTTAAATGAAGCAGAGAGACCCGGTGATGATGTCACTGATTCTAACGTAAGGTATGTAATGAAAATAGGTTTTATTTAAAGTGACATTAAATTCGGGGTACTTGAATGCATTTTTTACATTTAACTCCTAACGGTTAACAAAAATTGATCTTATTTGTGTATCACTCGGCTGTAGATCCTCAAATCATCTCTGAATTTTGTGCAGAGACTGTTTTTTCTACTGGAGGGTGGTCCCTTTGTGTGTTGAAAAGTAGCCACCGCTCCAAGTTTGCTTCCATGTTGGACTATAATGTTACATTTAAATTCCTAATGTCTATTGAGCATGTAGTCTAGTCTGTAACAAGGTAGCTAGTGTTTTTTTTCTTTTTTGTGATGTTAGAAATATATTGATATTTTATGTCCTTCATTTTGTTCCCAGTCCAGGAGCATTGTAAATAATAATCATTCGTGCAAATTGCTGAGTTCTAGATATTTTTATATGTAGCCACCTTGTTTGGTATTATGCATGCTTTTAGGTCACATTTTAATATAAAACTGCTTGCTTGTAAGTTAATAAAGCGCCTTTACCTAGCAAACAATATTTATGTAATTGAATTCTGCCTTTTTAGTGAGTCTGAAGATAATGAGAATGTGGACTCTGTAGAAAGTGGAGGTTCCAGTTCTTCATCTTCAAATGAAAGTTCAAACTCTGGTTCAGGATCTGAAGAGGATAGCGACTCCGAGCCACAAAAGCCTAAAAATATTACCAGCAGCAAGGTGAGATCTATCTCCCCTGTGATTTTTGTAATAATCAATTGGGATGAACCTTATTTATTTTTACAGAAGGAATATACATTCATGCATTTCAAGACTTGTAATTCCCTCCCTGTAAACTATAACTTCTGTATTTAACTTAATTCATACAGCAGCATTTCCTGCCAAACTTTACAGAGGTTAAGGAACCATTCACATCATACCCTGCTCCAGTGAAGATTACAGTCCAATGTCAGGATGTGCAAATTGTGCTGTGAAAATCTAACACAAGGCACTGAGCCATTGTGCAGTTTCTAGACCAGTGAAGTCATTACTGTATTACAAGAGCTGCAGAGTCTCCTTGTTTTGGAGTTGTGTTGTCCCTGATTTATACATTTCTATTTTTCTTCTTTTTTATCAAATCAAGTTTCAGTAAGTGCCTAGAACCCATTCTGCCCTTTACAAAGCAGATGTTTAAACTTCTTTAAGGATGGAATAATACCGATAGTTTGGCTTTTTTTAGTAAAATAATAGAAACAGGATGTTAACTTGAGCAGTGAACGGCGCTTAACCCTTTTTTGAGAAGGCAATGCATGGTAGTGTAGTATTATGTGTTGCTGCACACTGCAGGTGAGCTGCTTTAGTTCATTAGGGTGCCATTCAAAATGGATGGCACCACAAGCACTAACATGTGCACGGTGTGGTACCATAAAGCAAAGGTGTCAACCAGGCCAAAAAGAATGGATCAGATACAATGGGAGCATGAGGCATTCAGAGGGTCAGCAGTGAGATTTCTTGGCCTGTAAACTGCCTGACCTCGCACTCTATAAGTATGTCTAGTTAGTTGGCAGCATGCAAATGTCAGGTTTCAGATGGCTTTCTACACTCTAGCTAAAGTGTTGCCCATACATGTTTCAGTCTGATTGTACGAGGGTCCAGCAAAAAGTAATGCCTCCATGTTTGTAATTTTGTGATCTATGAATGTTCATGTGCCATGTTATAGAGGTGTCCTTACCCCACTGATCTATGCTTTTTTTTTTCAGATTGAGTGATTAGAACCATGGATCTGGGGGTGCTGTAGTGGAATTTGGGTTTCTCCTTCTTGAAACTTCTTCAACCAACGCCGCACATTGCTAATGTCCACTACAGCGTCCCCATAAACATTCTTTAGCCAATTATGGATTTCCTTGGGTGCACAACCCTGTTTCGCCAGAAATTCAATTACAGCTCGTTGCTTTTGACGGAGATCCATGGTTCTAAAAAGAAAAGCATACATTAGTGGGGTAAGGACACCTCTATAACATGGTACATAAACATTCACAATCATTCTAATAGATCTCAAATTACAGACATGGAGGCATTACTTTTTGATTAACCCTCGTACATTCTTTTAGGTCTTCCAAAAGCTAGGGGCAAAATTGATTGAATTGTTTAAGTAGGCCCTAGTGTAATTAAGTTTTGGGAAATATAAAGTCGATTGTATAGAGATCAGATTGTATGGCCATCTAGGGACCCTGAAATGGTATGTACCTTGCCCTGAGAAAAGGGATTCTGCAGGATCCTGTAACATTGGTTTGTGATGCATGTTGCGTTATGTAAGTAAAGGACAAGGCTATCACTATAACATGTTGGGCTGGTAAAGATTCTTATTTCAGTAGGGCTTAAGCCAGCATTATCAAATCACAATATACAACAATAACCATAAACAACGTTTCTTGAAATGAATTAAAAGCCCTCTGGCTACCGTGTAGTACTACAGATAGACTTATGTTTCATCCTAGCAGTAACATGAGAGGATTGCAAAGGCTATCACCATACCAGTTAGGCCTGGTTCACACCTAGGAGTTTTTGAGCAGTTCGAAAAGCGCTTTTAAATGCCCAATAAAAGAAATCCCATGATTTTCAATGGCCCTGGTTCACACCTGAGCAGGAAAATGCCAAGCGCCCGAAAAGGTACCTGAGCTTCTTTGGGCAGATAAAAGCGCTTCATTGGAAATGCCCAAAATCGCGTGGCAGAAGCACGCCGCACATTCTCAAGAGCGCTTTTGTGTGTTTAAACGTGCATTCTACCATTGCCCGCAATGTTTTTTATGAGCTGCCAGTCAAAACGCCCTTTTCATGTATGCACGTAAAAATGTGCATAAACACGCAAGTAACCGCATGCTGCCGTAGAAACGTCCAAAAACAGTGCCACCTAGGTGGGAATCAGGCCTTAGATATCAGTTTATACATAAAACATTTCTATTTATATACATTGAGAGATTGTTTATATTATGTTGCCATCTTTCAAATATATTGTATATCTAAAACATTTAGGGCCCATGCACACCAATTACATTACTGTGTGTTGAGGCTGAACCCTTTCATTTTGCATTAATTGGCTGCTCACCTTAACTTCTATTTCCACTTTTGCATCCAAATTGGGATAACACCTATTTTCAGGGCTTGAAAAATGTGATGGTTTCTCACCAGCCAGTCAAAAAATTCACCAATCAGCATGACCGGACTATGGCCTTGCAATTTATGCTAAAAAAATTTGGGGGCAGATAGAGCTTTCTTTTGGAGGTATATAATCACCACGGGGGGTGGGGGGGGTTGGGGGGGATATTTTTCTTTACTATATAATGAAAAAAGTACCATAAATGTAAAAAAATTAAAAAATTCCCTACGTTATGTTATAAAACATTTATTCTTACCCATATTTTTAGTAAAACATAAAATTCGGGGTCACGTCGGGTAAATAGACACCAAACATGTCAAGCCTTAAACTTGCGTGTGCCCGCAAAATCGCAAAAAACGCCCATAGGCGACGATTACAACACTTTTACTGCTCATCAGTTTAGTGTTATCAGTGATTAATGGCTCTTAAATTATTGCTCTCACTCCGACGTTTGCAGCGATATTTAACATGTGTGGCACAAGAGGCGCAATCGTCGTTTTTGCACGTAGGCGCACCCGACGCATATCTGCGTGTGTATAAGGGGTCGGGGACTTAAAAAAAAATGTTTTTCTTTTTTTAATGCTTCTTTAATTTTAGTATTACTTTTTTTTTTTTTACACACAGCTTTCAGCTTTATTGCTATTACGTGGGGGGCTAAGAAGCCCCCTATGTAATAGCCAATGTACATGACAGGTCCTATTTATGGAGACATCAGGGGTCTCCAAGACCCCTAATGACACCTAGGGAACCCCAGAGAAGCTGATGAAGCAGATATCTGCTTCATCAGCTTCTTTAGCGGGAGAGTGACAGTGAATGCAGGAAGTGATGTAATATACATCACTTCCTGCATTCGGGGACTGAGAGGAGATCAAAGGGAGTTTGTATACTGAACTCCCTTTTGATCTCCTGTCACAGAGCTGTCCCGGCTGCATCGGGCACAGCGGATCTCGGGACAGGCAATGGCAGCGACAGCTGCAGGTAATACAAGCGATCGGGTGTCTCTAGAGACACCCGATCGCTTGAATGTAAAGCTCCTGGCCGTGTAATTACAACGGCTGGCCGGGAAGCTGCTCGTCGGGCTCCACCGTCCTCTCGTCGCGGACGAGTGGATTTTTCAAGTCCTGCCTATTTTATATTTGTTACGTGTTCCCATTCAAATTGCATAAGATGAAAACAAAAATTGCAGTTTAAACTGCATTTACTTGGGTTAGGGTTTCTTGGTTTCTTAAGGGTTATAACTTCTACTTGCTTCTCCTTTACAATGTTAGAACGGGCTATATAGGGGTTTAAAGGATTACAAACCTGGCTTCTCCATTGTATGTTAATGACATTTTTTTCTACAATTGGTATGCTGTGTGAAGGAGAACACATAACAAACACACAGAGGGGTTTTCTCAAATTTGACTGCAAAAGTGGAAATCCATGTTCACTCCTGGGCGTTTTGGTGCTAAAAGCTAAGGGTAGGTGAAGTTCTGTAGTGCAGTAGAGGAGAATTTATCAAAACTGGGGCACACAGAATCTAAAGCAGCTTTCTATAGCAGCCAATCAGCTTCTATCCTTCAATGTTTCTTAGCGTAACAAACTGAAGAGAGAAGCTGATTGGTTACTATGAGCAACCGCTCCAGATTTTGGCTGCTCCAATTTTGATAAATTCCCACTACTGTGTTCTCAGTCAACAGGAAGTTAGGAGGTCATTGGTTTTGTGGCAAGATAATCAGGTATTTTTCTGTGTATTTTTAAAGAATAAGGCCATGTTCACACCATGTCTGGAGCAGATCTGCAAATGCACTGCAGCGCATTTTTATCGCAATTTTGCAGCGTTCCGATGCTTTTTTGTTTTTTTAACTTAAAATGGGCTTTCAGGTGCAGTCCAATGCGTTTGTGATGCGTTTACAATGCGTTCCAGTGAATTCCAGACCAGAGAAAATGAGACGAGAAGTATTTTTTTTTTGTCTGGACCGGAATAGACTGCGTTGGTGTGAACAGAGCCCAGAAATACCATAGGGATGCATTTGGATGCTTTTTTGGTCCGAGAACAAACTCTGGTCTGACAAGGTGTGAACAAGCCCTCAGATATGAAGATATAGGCAAGTATTGCAGAGGGGTATGTCATGTATTTATTTTAAATTTTGCCCACAGATGCAATTTTAAGCTGAAGATGTGTTTTGCATTAACAGTTTAGGTATTACCTACTGAGCAGTAGCTACTATCCCATAATATAGTAACATCGGGTAGAAGCTGTTTGTGTGGCTTTTACTTAAATAACAGATTTATGTTATTGAGAGAATTTGCGCTGCATGTTCAATCATCTAAAATTCTCTAACGGAAAAAAGTCTGACGTAACAGAACTCTCAAACTTTGAAGCAGCACGGATCCGCAGCCTAAACAAATGTAAATATTCATAATCCTCTCCCTCTGAACTGCACTTTCAGGAAGTGCCATTATCACGTCTTAAATAGCTAAACCATATTTCTGGCTGATAACTTTTTAAGAGGCAATCCAAGGTGGCGGTCGGCCATCAGTCAGAGCGTGTGAGTTTTGAATGATGCTGAACACATAAATATTTTGGATGGCAAGGTAAAATTCAGCCAGTAAACCGCAATTCATGTGCCTTTTCCACGGGTCTCTGTGGCTCTTGGCGCGGTGTGAAATTCTCATTTTCTACACTTTGCAGTCAGAGGCCATGAATAATGCATAGCGCAAGAGAAATCCTCAATCTCCTGCTTCATCTACTATATGCTTTTATCCAGCTTCTGTCTCTATTAACAAGATGAATTGTAAATGGGGGAATCTAGATGCAATGTCCCCATCACATCTTCTGCGAGACCCTCACTGTCTTCGGCAGGGAAATGAGCGTCCGTCTATTGAAGAGACTTAAAAGAGAAATTATCGTGGTGAAAACAATACTGTATTATTGGATGACACTTCACATACATTGATGCTTGTGCCTGCTGTGATGCATTCCATTTCTTAGCTTGTATAGCTGTCTATATAATTACTATATTTGGCTTTATACATGTCTCTTTTCTATACATATACACACACTAGAATCCCTGATTTGCATTCCCAATTCTGCTTTTTTCATACACTGAATCTGAAATTTTGGTGGGTCCCATTCTGTTGTTATGTGTTTGGTATGGAAGCCTTCCTGTCTGAATGTTGTTACCACAATTTACGGTACATCTTGCCTGTAGTCTTGTCACCTGCAGCGTCTCCCTCTGAGATGCTACAACTGATGTTTTGGGGACTGTCCTTCTGTATTCTCGTCTAGTTTAGAGCATTTTATAATATGTTAGCCGAGATGGAAAAATACAGATTATTCTGAAAGTTTACCCTTCAGTAAAATGACTGCAACATTAATTCTACATAAACCATATTAAAGTTCCATGTTAGAAAATACCTTTTTGTTTTATTGTGTAGCCTTGTTGTAAATTACTTAAAGCAGAAGTAAACCGAGCATAACACCACCAGGAAAAGACAACTGAACAATTGATAGTAAATACACTAAAGAGCACTATTCCTAAGCTGGCTTTGTTTTTAAATGTATTGTAGGCACCCCTCTCCCCTGCTGTCGCTGAACCCGGCACCATATTGTAAACTTTCTCTTTTTCTGCTCTCATAGCGTGTCCTGCTGAAATCTCACACTTGCACAGACCACTTTAGCTGGTGTTCACTTAGTCCAGTGGCATGAAAGCAATGAGCATCATGAGAGTAAGCACCTTGCCAGAGATAGAAGATGAAGTCATCCCTGCATGGTGCTCTGCTGTTTGTGGCATGGCCATAGATGTCGTAAATAAGAGAAAAACTGCACATACGCGAGTGATGTCATGACAACAGAATACAGGGATATCTCTGCAAGGGGAAGAGAACATATTTTTTGGTGCTGACTATAAAATGTATTTACTGTATAGGGGCTAATGGTCTGATTTTGTAAAGTAGAGTTTACTTCTACATTAAAGTGACTCTAAGTTCAGGAGTTAAAGCTATAAATCTCATTCAAGTACCTTAAGTATTAACAAAAGGTATCTTATTTGTGTATCAATCAGCTGTAGAGCCTCAAGTCATCTCTGAATTGGTGCTGACACGGTCCTTCCTTCTGGAGGCAGGCAACTTTTTTTTCCCCATAGTCCCTGTGTGTGTTGTAAAGGAGCCACCGCTCCAAGCTCACTCCTGTAATGGACTACAATCTCAGTACAAATTAGTAAACTAGACGTGAGGTTGTAGTCTATCATGGGAGTGAGCTTGGGGTGGTGGTTACTTTACAACACACATAGGGACTTTTTTTTTTTCCTTGGCTTCCCAGGGACAGAAAGTGTGAACAAAATCTGCCAAATGAGGTCCCAGACAGAAATACTAAACTGGCAGAAATTTTAAGTCTCTCCCTTCCCTGCAAAAAAAAAAAAGCAGGCTGGGGTTGAGCTTTAAATATTCTTTGAAAAGTGAGAAGGCTGAAGTGTAACTTGACAATTCAGCATTGCGTAGATTACATAGATGCACACATATACACTAGAGGCCAGATTTACATTACCTGACACATCATTCTGTCTCTTTACAGAAAACAGAAAGTAAGGCCGTCAAACCAAAGGAACCAACTAAAAAAGCTATTTCCCTTCTAGACCTCGATGACTGTAAGTATTGTTAAATATTGTTGAAGGTTAGACATGGCGTGTAAATAAATATGCAGTTAAAGGACATTTGTCATGAAAGTAGCCATTTTTTTTACAGTATATTGATTATCTATAATTCTCTCCTATTTTGTTTTATTTGTACTTCTTTTTTTTCTATTTCCTTTTAAAACCTGTTACACTTATAAACAGCCCTTAGCAGAGTACAGATGTACCTTTCAATACATGCTACACTAAGTCATCTCCCCAACACTCCTGACCTAATCCACACTAGAACCCCGTTGCCTCTAACCCCCCTCCCCTCAAGTATTGACCTCAACTGCCACCCAGCTTACTTTAAGCAGCCACACTCCACTTCTCGTTTTCCCCTTAACTACTGACCACAGCTCTATGTATAGGGCAATATTCTGAGACTGTAGATGCTCCATATACAGTTCCATACAAGCCTGAGAGGGCTAAGTGCACAAATCCAGTCATCGGTTAAGAGGATGAAGACAAGGAGCTGTCCTATTACTTAGGTAAGCAGCTCGGGAGGGGGGTGGTAGTGTTAATTCACAAGAGCTTTGGAGGGTGGTTATTGTAGTTCCTATTAAAGGAGTTCTAAAGCCCCAGCACATACTATCCTGCTAAAACATCAGCATTGTAAGGGCTCTTTCACACGTGCGGCAAAACCAGGCATTAATCAGGCATTTTTAACGCCTCTCTGCCACCTATTAAATACCATGTGGGATAAAACAATGGGAACCGCCCAGTACGCATTAGCGTTGCGTCAAAAAATAGATTGCATGTCACGTTCTGGAGGCATTGAAGTCTATTGTGCCGCTTGGTCAATGCTCCCTAGATCGGTTTTCAGGCATTTGTCCAGCGTTGCACAGGCGCTCAGGAGAGGTATAGGAGGTTTTGCATACCCAGAAAACACTGGGAAATCAGAGAGTGAGAGGACAGTGCAGATGCCACGACCCAAGTCTTCCCAGCTACTGTGACTCTTGCTGGTCACTTCCCTTTACTACATCCCTTTACCCTCCCCTACTTGCAGGGCATTTTGCAAGTGTTTTTGATGCTTCCCTATTGCCTTGAAAAAGCCTGCCGAATGCTTTGTTAGCACTATACACCGTTAATCAGTGTTGCTCTGTCATTCAATTCTCAAGTAAATCCTCAGAGGCAGGGCCATCCTTACCATCTTGTCTTGAATTGTTTTTGATTGTAATGTCTTCCTTATATTGTAAAGTGCTGCGAAAACTGTTGGCGCTATATAAATCCAGTATAATAATAATAATAACACGCGTGAAAGAGCGAAAGAGTTGTGTTTGATAATGCAACCAAAGCGTACTTAAAAAAATCCCTTTTATGCAGTATGTAGGAGAGGGATAGAACTTTAGACCACCAAACAATTATATATTTTCTGAAAGTAGATGTCCTATAGAATAAAAAGATGCTAGTTGCAATTTTTTATGCCGCATGGTATTTGCGCAAATGTTTATCAAACAGGTGTTTTTTAGGATAAAATTTACTAAAATTGAATTTAGTGCCCAGAAACAGAATATAATACCTAATTTTGTGGTAAAGTTTAAAAGACGGGGTCACGCCGGGTGCATAGATAACAAACATGTCAAGCCTTAAAATTGCGTGCGTCCGTGAAACCGCAAATAACTACAATAACCAAAATATCCCATAGGCGATGCTTTAAAAGCTTTTTACTGCTCATCAGATTAGTGTTAACAGTGATTTATGGGCCTAGGATTATTGCTCTGATGCTCGCGACAATATGTAACGCGTAGCGCAATTTTCGTTTTTACACGTAGGCACACCTGACACGTGTTTGCGTTGTATGTGTGTGCACGTGGAAGGGGGCGGGGGACTATAAAAAAGAATTTGCTGAATTTTTTATCTGTTGCTTTTAATTTTTACAATTGTTTTTTTTTTTACACTCAACTTTATTGTTAGCCCCCAATGAAATAGCAAATATAATGTGACAGGTCCGCTTTATGGAGACCTCAGAAGTCTTTCAGACCCCTAATGCCACCTGGGGACCCCAAAGAAGCTGATGAAGCAGATATCTGCTTCCCCAGCTTCTTCTGGCTCTAGGAGCCGGAGAATGTGCTCAGTGAGACCGGAAGTGATGTCGTGCACATCACTTCTGAGTCCAGTGATCGGAGGAGAGATCAGCAGCTGGAAGCCTGCTAATCTCCCTCCGAACCATCAGAGGAGACCCACCAAGACGGGCCCGGAGGTTTGCACAGCACCGCACCGTACAAGCGATCCGGCGCCTGTACAGACGTCAAATTGCTTGTATTTAAACAGCAATTGTCTGCTGCTTTGAAATGGTACCAAGAACACGGCTGCACCAGCGGATTACATGCATTTACGTAAACCCGCTGGACGTGGTTAAAGATACAGCTGTAAACTGTTATATTATATATATTGTATTATCCTTTTCAGTGCTTTGAAATAATAGAAGTAAATACAAATACTGTCCTAGAACCTTAAATACTTATGTATACCAGAGAGAGACTATATAGTAGACCTTCTGCTTAGTATGTACTGTACCTGTAAATGATAAGCAAATAGCTTTTTCTGCCCTAAGAATGCTCAAAAAACCACCCAAAACAAAATCCCATTAATTTCTATGACCATGTTCACAACTGAGCATTTTGTTGCTTGTAGCTAAACGGCCGTCGCTGGAAAAAGTACAAGAGCTTCTTTTTGGCAGATTAAGCGCTTCTTGGCTCCACAGACTTCAATGGAAATGCTCAAAAATGTGCCTTTGCTACGTTTTTGCTCATGTTTCATGCGCGTTTGGCCGTTTAAATCATTGCTTTACAAACCACTCGCAAAAACGCATCTGATTGGACGTTTGGCTGACAATTTTCCCGCCCAGCTCCTTTTGATCTTTCAATTTGATCATGTCGGGCGTGGGCTGGCACATAAGGACACCCACTGAGAGAATTTAATTTGGTTAAACAAGACCTGAATGAAATGTGCTCAGTGTAGAGCCAGCTTAAGGATGGCCTAGTGTAAAGATAACAAATGGCCTCCATATGTTGCATACTGATTATAGACACCTTGGCATGAAGTGCAGGTTGTGATTTAAAGTGACACTAAACTTTTAACAACACTGTACCGTATGTGTGTATCACTCAGCTGTAGATCCTCAAATCATCTCTGAATTGGTGCTGACACTGTCCTTCCTTCTGGAGGGTGGCTACTTGTGTTCTCCATGATCCCTGCGTATGTTGTAAAGTAGTCACCACTCCAAGCTCTCTCCTGTGATGGACTACAATCTCATGTTTGGTTTACTAATTTGTATTGAGATTGTAATAAGAAAAAAACAAAAACAACTGGTAGGACAGTTCAGTCAAGCAACCTGCCAAAGTCTTGTGACTGACCTGCCTCCGCTCACGATACACAAAAAGCAGAGAGTACTTTGTGGACTCCTTACCATGGCCTGCATTTTATGAATGGTCTGCAGAATGCAGGCCATGGTATGGAGTAACTAATGCATAGCTGACTAAACCAGAAGGTTTGGTCATTAACATTTAACATTGCTAGATTGAATCTACAGTGTGTATAATCTGATCTCCCTGCCCTATTTCCATGTAGCAGCTTCTGAATGAGCTGCCTCATTTTGATTTAACCTTGCTCACTTTGCCAAGTGGTAAATATCAAATATAATATGCAATTTTTCAGATATTTCTAGTTAAACAAAAATATAAAAGCTTAAAATAAAAAAAATCTATATAGCAAACAAATCTGGTAAAACTCCTAAATATGTACCCACTCAGTACGAGAACCTAACCTTTCTAACAGATTTTTTAGACTTGCCACTTACAGCTGTAAAATTAACAAAACCACTGAATTATTTTTTCTTCTGTTTCCTCCTCATAGTTAATGAAGTATCAACTCCTGTTGCTGCTCCCAAACCTGCAATGCTTTCTCCTAGTTTAATAGCTGATCTTCAAGGTTTATCCCTCGCCACCTCATCGCCACTAATAAGTGTAAGTTATGTCTGTCTGTTTTTCTCATTCGGTCATTTGATTAGATATAAATATGCTTTTAGTTATTTACTTGTCTTTTTTTTTAATACACAACTGCATACTTTTGTATTTAATTACCTTTTTGAAGTTGCTTATCCCTGCCACTAAATCCACTCTCTGAATTTTAGCATTGATGAGTTCAGTGACAAACATGTAGACTAACTTGAGGTGTCTTTTTTTTGTGCATGGGTATAGAAACTTTTTTTTTTCTTAAGGAATACATATATATATATGTGTGTGTATATATATATATATA